CTTCTTCTTCTAAGACCTCGGGTCATTCAAAGGTAATATTTAGCTTATGCAGCTCACTCTCAAAATTTCCCCCTGTATTCGTATCTGTTGGTCAAGATCGCAAAATAATATTTTGGAAACAGAATGCTACAGCTGGCTTGGATCAGCTTTATGAATTAGTTACAATACAAGGATCTGTTTTGTCTTTATCTCAATCCGCACAGGGCTTTAGTCCTATTGCTTGCGGTATTTCAGACGGATCGATTTACCTCTGGAGGTCTTTTATAAATCTATCTATTAATGCGGATGGCGATCAAGCTAAGTCTATTGACTCAAAAACGCCTGAAAATCTGAGAAATAACGTAATTAGCATTATTTGGCCTCTTGGGAAGATGTCGGCTGGAATAACCTCGCTCGCGTGGCATCCGCTTAGGCATCAAGAACATCTCTTGGCATTAGGCTCGGAGTCTGGTATCGTGGATGTTTTAGATACTTCCAAACCGATCCGGCATGGCTCCGGGTCTAGGTTATACGGGCAATCCATGGGCTCTATCGTGTATCGGGTTGCTTGGGGGCCACCCTTGCTTCCTCGTGCCCGCAGAGAAAATATTTCTGGCTCTGACGCTGTCCAAGTGGCTGGTGACGCTGACCTGACCTTCATAGCAGATGAGAAGAAAGATAAAGCAAGTAAAAACTTATTTGTATACAGTATTTGCAAGGGGAAGCTATGGTTTCATTTTGGTCATGGGAGACAGCCTTGTGAAGTTGGTTCTAAGCTTCCTGTACCAAACGAATCCTATCTTGACTCTAGCACTTTGCTTTCAGATGTAGCATTTCGTTTCGCCTCTCCTTCCTCCGATCCTATTTCGTCAAGCTTTTCCTGCATTTTTTCCGTCGGACTTCTCTCGGGGGACGTGGACATCTTTGCGCTTTCTCGCAATGAATCCGATCAAGATTATTTCCATTGCCACTATGTCTGCCGTGTGAAAATTCATAATAAGTGCATAAATAGCCTAGTCTGGTCCCCAGATCCCTCTTATTGGTTAGCAATAGGATCAAATGAGATTTTTATCACAATTACAGACCTGAAATCAGTTTTGCTTCTTGCTTCTGGAAGCCATGAAAAGCTGGGGCACCGTATTACGCCCGAGCTGACAAGCCACCTGCTCCGTATTGAAGGTCATTCTAACAGAATCACGTCACTCGACTGGTCACCGTTTTCTCCCGGACTGCTCCTATCTGTGTCCTATGATGGAACTGCCAATGTGTGGCAGATTTCCCCTCGTTCTGATTCCGCATCTGCTCCCTCTGGCCAAGAAGCGCCCGTCCTTTATAACATGACTCCTCTTGCCAACTTTCGAGGACACCGATTGCGTCTTTATGCTGGCCTTTGGAGCCGCCAGGAACCGGACCTGGTGATTACGGGCGGAGAGTGCTCCTCTATCTTTTCCTGGAGGCCCTCGTTGCAGGCTGCTTTTCAGCAGCCTCCATCTTCGCGTCGGTTCCGGCCGCCCTTGGCGCCCAAAGTGGTCGAAGTCGACAGCTCGAACGTCACATCTCTATCTTCTCACGACTCTGATTCTGTGGTTATAAAGAGTGGAATCAGCTTACTAACACCTGATTCTGGAAAAACAGGTGAAACCTATGAAACGAACGGGTCATATTCTGTTTCGGGTCCCGGTGAGCTGACAAAAAAGCACGAATCAGCCGGCTTCACGATAGCCCAAATATGTAATGAAGACATCAGCCTTTCTGGCCGCGCTAGAAAGGAGAAAGCCAGACATGGTGGTTTGATGAGAAGAATGGCTGGAGAGGGCAGAGATGCTGGTGGATTCATCCGACGTCCCTCACTCTTTCCTTCGTTATTTGGAGGGCCAGGAGTTTGTACTTCACCGGAGCCTACTAACTCTTGCCTAGACTTCTCATGCATCCCACCAGTCCAACTCAACTCTCGTCTTCAGACTGCACTGATGCTTACTCGCCATATGGCATCCCTAGAAAAGTTCGAACCTGGCCAGTCAGGGGGGCTCGGGCCTGAAACCGCCTCTCCGCCTAGTTTGATGGCGGCATTGGTTTATGGCGTTCCGGACGACTATCCGTCGCGCCGAATGCATCTCGTCCGACTAGTCGAGGCGGAAGCCAATCGACATTTGGCTGTATTCACTGAAGCCGAGGAAAAAGCCCAGATCCGGCAGTCCGGTTCAGCACCAATGGTTGCTTCTGGGCATTGGCTTCACTTGGAGGCATATTTCTTCCTTCTTATTTGGCTCGGTCGGGCGACATTAGTTGCTCAGTCGGCAAAGCTATACGGCTATTTTCCCTACTGGCTTCTTTGGGCTTTGCAGATGGCTGTGAGCCCACCGATGCCTATCCAGGCGCTTGATGACGAGATCGACCTACTTGTTGAGAAGGTGGGTGCCAAAATCTTCCGCGCAACCTGCTCCGTTTCTTGCCTCCTGCTTTTTTTGGATGGCATCACTTCTTGAGCTGCCTTTAATTAAGTAATTGTGCTTTATGTTAATTTGAATCTTTTTTTTTTACTATATTCTCTTTGATTCTGAGTCATGATTCATGTTTCATTTGATTTCGACTAATATTGCC